CAAATCAGGCCTTTAGGCTTTGGAGACTTGCACTCTACCCGCTGAGCCATTTCCCAGCCCCTCATTACTACAGTGATCTACTCATTAGTCTACTTTTAGCAAAAGCATGCTTGATACCATGACTCCCACAGAGATGGTTAACCAAATGCTATCTTTTGTCTAATTGGTCTATGAGAAGATTTTAGTCTTAGTAATATATCACGTAAGACAAAAAGAAAATTGAATTCACCCTAAAATGAGTTTCTGATAAACAGTAATATATAATCTATTTAGCTATAAAAAGCAGTTTATGTACATAGAGTAAGTTTTATCCGTACACAGTAACAATTAATACAGTTAGCATCATATCATCTTCTCAATTGGGGCCTCAGATTTCCTTCTTAGAAAGCTTAACGGCCTCCTAGGCTGTCTTCCAGAAACAATCGTGGACGTGCAGCCTGGGGAAGAATAGAAACAGCTCCACATGAATGAGTGTGTAAATGGAAGTATTCGTTCCTACTTATACCCAAACAAAGCAGAATATTCACACTTTCAGAACTTTTCCTGCTAGAGATTATTCAGTGTTTGGAGAGATCGTAATTAATTTCCCCAGGGTCATATTGGTTAAGCTTCAGGCTGCTTCTCCTGATATAACAGTATTAAATGAATATGTACGCCTTCTTGTCTTTTCATGGTAAGTTCCCAGAGCAGCTGTCTGCATCAGATTTTCATAACCTTGATATTGCATTGTCCCCCCAAATGTCACTGCTTTGTGTTCCTGTCACCTGCTGTGAGGATACTACTTCCTACACAGGTTTAGCAACACGAAGGAGAATTTCTTTCTTTATCTTGTCACCCCCACAAGATATATAGTTATGTGACAGTATCTATGAACCTTCATAATCATCCTAATCAATAATGTTTTCCTTAGAGTTCAACGGTTACTTGCATGTTGCAGTCATCACGTCTCTGCTTGTGGCAACTTTTCTTTGTCTTTGTAATGTGAAGTGGTGCATTCTCATCTACCAGATGGATGCAGAGAGAGACACAGCCCCCACTCCGGCACTGCTCCAGAGTGGGCAATAGTACTGAACAGAAATAAGAAAATAGTGTGCAAAGGTTCTGTTCACCTTTGAGAGTGAACACATCCTCTGGGCAGAGCTTACAGTGGTGAGCCTGGAATGGGATTACACTACAGAGTCTGCATGTAAGATTGGTCTTCTGGCTTGTGAGTTCAGGAAAATTTGAATTTCCTGATTTAAAATGGCAAACTCGGCTATTACATTCTTTGTAATTTCAAAAAGCAACTATCACCACACAAAGACAGATACGTTTCTAAAAATAGATAGATATAAATAAATAAATAAAAGCATCTGGTACTTTTAGAAAACAAGCCCGAGGCCAACTCTGTGCAATGAATAAAAAATGCGCTGGAGATGAAGTGGCATAGCTGTTGCTTTTGTTTCGCTGGCAAGGGAGGAACATTCTGCATTAGGCTAAGCATCTCAGCCGCTCAACTGAAGCTCAACAAGAAGCTCCGGGGGCGTGTCTTACATTTCTTAACATCTGTCCCTCCAAATCATAGTAAGGAACAATGAGATAAATCGGGCCACGGTAGTCCTCCAAAAGTTAATTTGTCAGGATAACTTTTGTCAGCAAATGGGGTTTTAATGTTCCGTGACTTTTACATCCCCTCTAGGCTGTTTTATGTTGAACGATCTCTTCTTCCACGTGAGTGGTTTTAATCCAACAGCTATCAATATTGGTTCCTGCGAGAGCTCTGACAGCTTTTGTCATCTAACAAACATCTTACAGATCAAACTGGGGACAAGGCAGAGACATAGGATAGCTCGGGAGGATTGCTGTTTACAATTCAAGACCAGGAGTCAGCTTTACAAAAGAAAATCTCGGAAGCCAACCAAGCCCTCGGCAGGGAGGAACATCTTCACGCCTTAGTCATATAGTGGCCTACTACGGATGCGCATGGTCTGCAGCCGCCAGCAAGATCTAAGATAAGAGACCTCGCGGTAAAAGGGGGAAATGTGGCCTCTTTCTGAAGCCTGCCATTGGAGCAGTGCTGCCATTTTATGAGCTGTGTCAGCGCACTGAATCTCAGAGACCGGGCTCCAGGAGCCAACTGGTGTGCCGAGCATCGTCTGCATGACGACAGCAGAAGGACGTCTGAGAGCATCATCTGCGTGACGACAGCAGAAGGTTGTCTGAGAGCGTCGTCGTCTGCGTGACGACAGCAGAAGGATGTCTGAGAGCATCGTCTGCGTGAGGACATCGGAAGGACGTTTGAGAGCACATGAAATAATTGTGCCTGATTCCTCTCCACACATTACGCTGCAACCAGGAGTAGCCTGTATGGGCTCATGCTCTAGTGAACTTACAAATCTCAGAAAACAACGCTGGTAAGCCTCAGTGGAACATGTGGAAAAGAACACATCTAGCTTCTCAGAGAGAGTTTTCATAATTCTTCTTGAGGAGGTGTCTTCCTTATTGTTTTTATTGTGCTATACATTTTTCCCCTGCTACCCTCCCTTCCTCCTCTCTCCCCTTCCACCCTCCTCTGTAACCCCCATGCTCCCTATTTATCCAGGAGACCTTGTCTTTTTCTCCTTCCTATTTAGATCCATGTATGTCTCTCTTAGGGTCCTCCTTGTTGTCTAGGTTCTCTGCGGTTGTGGATTGTAGGCTGGTTTTTCTTTGCTTTATCTCTAAAAGTCACTTATAAGTGAGTCCATATTATATTTGTCTTTCTAGGTCTGAGTTACCTTGTTCAATATGGTTTTTTTTCTAGATCCATAGATTTGCCTGCAAATTTCAAGATGTCATTATTTTTACCACTGAATAGTACTCCATTGTGTAAATGGATCACGTTTTCTTTATCTGTTCTTCAGTTGAGGAGCATCTAGGTTGCTTCCAGGTTCTGGCTATGACAAATAATGCTGTTATGAACATAGTTGAGCATATGCCCTTGTGGTATGAAGTGATGGCTAGATTCTCAGTGTTTAAGAACTTCTTTAGGAGGCCCTGAGCGTTCCTAATTCTCACCTGCCTTGTGTTTCCCGGAGTCTTTGAGACAGACGTCTGCTGACCAGTAGCTTAAGCCCTGTGCTGCACAAATCCAGCCTTTTCTATCCGTCACAAGCCTTCTCTGTGTCTGACACATCAGGAGCTTCCTCTCCATCCTGTTTAGCTCGGGAAAGCCAGGATATGCACCTTAACGACCCCCTTCTTGCACAGGACGGGCCGAGCTTAGTTAGCACAGGTGAGCAGGGAAGCAAACTAAAGGATGGAGAATGAGCTCTAAAGTGTATTCAAGGCGGAGCACATCCCTGCTTAGGGCTGATGTAAGCAGGATTTTAAGACTGTCTCTGCTATGACTGGAAAGAATTCTTTGTTGTTTCCTGAGTTCTAGAGGCTGGGAACACATCAGATAATCCTCGCCTCTCCCTACTGAACCGTACCCTCTGCGCTCCTACAATCGGGCCATCTTCCTCCAGTGTCCCGGCTGAGCAGAGGTCTGCCTGTACCTCCTCTTTTCTACAGAGCAAACACCTGTTCACTGCAGGTGGAAGCATCAACTGCTTCTGCTTTTCAAGGTGACATCAAAGTAGTTCTTGCAGGTACAGATGCAGCAACTCTAACATTTCCGTCCTAAAGTTTTCCGCGTGTCCTTGGGTGTGTCTTAAATGCCCCTATTTGTGACATTCCCTCCTGGTGTTTCCTCATTAATTGTATAGCACAGTTGAGGGAACTGTATAAGATATTCTGTAAGATCTCATTTTTCCACAGCCTCAGGCAAATCAGATACCTGTTTTGCATTCAAAGTTATTTATAGTTTAGATGTTCGGAGAGATGCTAAAGAAATAACGTTATATAAAAGAGCAAACAAAACCCTCTAACCTCAGTTCCAAGTAAAATTCATGCCAGCTGAGCGCCAGCTACCTTACAAAGGAGTCTCGACGCCACTTTGCTGTATACTCTGATGACAGTTCAGATGTCAGTTGCATAAACGCCACTTCCAGCACGAATGAGTGGATATTAATAACATAGACAGCCTTTCCGTATATGCAACTACCTAACTTAGTCTCTCTACAAGGATATTAAAACATTTCATTAGGCTTAAAAAGACCATGTCCCTCATGATCTCCAGGGTCAGCCCAAGTTGTAATGGAAAGTTGCTGCCCCCCTGTGACATCACTCCTTGTGCTAAAGACTCCGCTGACCCAAAGCACCTCCGCTGTAAGGGCTGGCAGGGCTCGGATTGCTTTCATCTTCTGTCTAAAGACACCATTGAAGCTCAGGCTAAGCTATGTTTTTCATTGCAATTCAGCTACATCAAATAAACACTTGTAAAGCAATTATGTGTACTAAAGGGAAATAAGGAAGTGGGATAAGAAAGTCACAGCCTCAGGAACTGAGGATGGGGAGAACAGAGAGAGTCTGACATCACAGATGATGCTTCAGTGACCTTGGAGGCTAAGTGGCCTTTCTCCTGAGAAAGGAAGTCCGGAGCACCTAAGGCAAAAGTACAGGGACCTAAATAATGCTGTATTTGAGAGAAAAAAAATATTATGCTTCATAACCGAATAACACTGAAGAAAATGGACCACTGGTTCTGTTTCATTCAGCTTTCGTCACGTTGGCACAGCCTGGAGTTTTCCCAGGAGAGAAAAGCTCAAATGAGGAATTGCTTCCATCAGATCAGCCTGTGGCCCTGTCTATGGGGTACTTTTTATTGTTATTGATGATTGACGTGGGAGGCCCAGCCCAGTGTGAGTGTCACTCCCCTGATCCAGTATCCTAGGTGCAGAAGGACAAAAGCTGAACAAGGGCTGAAGAGCAAGCCAGTAAGCGTAGATTCCTCCATGGATTCGACTTCAGCTCTACCTCAGGCTCCCTTGGTGACAACTGTAACCTGCATGCTAAATAAACCCTTCCCTCCCCAGACTGCTTTGCTTTTGGTCACTGTTTGTCACAGAAATAGAAAGCAAACTAGAATAAATTATGTGTGCAAATGAAGTCTACAGTGCAACCGGACAAAGAGGTTCTAGCCGTACGTGCGGCATCTTATGCCTCCTTCAGGAAGCTGAGGCTTCTCCGCCGGTCAGTGGAGCGTGACTGAATGATTTGAAGCAGTACGGTGACTTCAGACTGGCTGACTCTCGGAAAGCAACCCCAGGTAGAACACGGAAAATGGAAAAAGAAAAAGATGCTAGAATTTCAAGGAGGCCACTCAGTGGCTAAGTCGTCTCTAATGGGTGAGGGAAGGTCCGGCGGGAGCTGGGGTTGAGCATATGGGGAGAAGACTACAGTCTGGCAGTGAGGAGAGACACCATAAACAATTCTGAGTTTGAGAAGTCATGCCAAACTAGAACCTCTGGTGAGTTGACCGAACAAGGGCTAGAGCAGGAAAAAGGGCACTGAGAAGCTGGCTAAGATTAAACTTCATTGTTTGCATTTGGTATGTTTGGTGACACCAACTTTCACCATTAAATCAGAACCTAGTACAGGGAAGTGGGAACATGTCACCAACATAGGGGTTTTACAGGTCCTGTCTCAGAAAAGACATCCTCTGGTGTCCTACATATATTTACAGGTCCTGTCTCAGAAACGACGTCCGCTGGTGTCCTACATATATCTCTGTGGTTGTACAGCTTACATCAGGCTCCATGCTGAGAATAAATACACAAGCAAGTTCTTTAAAGTTTTCAGAGAACAATTACAACACCTAGAACTTGATGCTCGAAGAAGTCAAGGGATTTGGAGGTGGAAATCAGGAGACCACGCTGCAATTTCCTTCAAGGCACCTGCTGAGTCTTAAATTGCGTGAGACAGGCAGCAAAGGCCTATGAGAGAGGTAAGGTGGTAGTTAAATGTCTCAGTTGTGGGTTCTGCTGTTGTGGAGAGACATTATGCTCCAATCAATTCATCAAAGAAATCACCTACTTGGTGGCTTGCTTATGGTTTCTGAGGGTGAGTGCCTTACCGTCAGGGTGGGGACATGGCAGCAGCAGCTAGGCAGGATGGAGCACTAGGTGAGGGCTTCCAGTTAATCCTCCAGCAGGGGCAAAGAGAGTGAGAGGCAAGAAAAGGAGTGAGTGAGAGAGAGGGGCCGGGTAAGAGGGGAGGGAAGGAGAGAAAGAGAAGACAGAGACTAGTGAAAACCTTAAAGGCCACCCCATAACACTCCTCCTTCAACAAGGTCACAATCTCCTTATGCTTCCTCAACAGTTCACCAACTAAGAACCAAACATCTGTATAAAAGAGCCTATTGAGGTATTCACATTAACATTACCACAGTAGGAATATTTAGAGTCTCATAGACCTCAGGAAGCTCAGATAAAAACGGAGCTCAGTTCTAGGTGAGCCCCACAAGGCCGAATGCTTCACACAAAATTCAAGCAAATCAAAACTGAGGAGTGAACACCAATCGTTTTTGTTGCCTGACTGACAATTTAAGACTCAGCAGGTGCTTTGAAGGAAGCGGCAGCTCCCTGGCTTGACTTCCTTCTGAGATTCCCTGGTCTGCATGGCCCATCAGGTCTGGTTGCCGTACTGTTCTTTGAAAACGTTAAGAACCAATGCTTACAGCTGCGTCCTTCCTTCCACAACTCTGGGGACTCTGACTGGCAGAGTCAAGGAACTAAGAAAAGACAAACACAAAGACACACAGAAAGAAAGCTGGCCTTGGGTGGTCTGGGCTCTCTAGGAAGCCACAGTACCCAGAAACAGTGTTTACTGTGTAAAGTCGAACAGAAAGGCAGGGTTATTACATACAGATAGACAAGGAGGCAGAGTCTACAGATCACAGCCAGATCCCGGACACAGGTTTAATCTCAGAAGGAGCAGTCTCTGCAGGCAATAAAGATGGTGTTGGGCCTGTGGTCAACATTTCTGCTCACATTGTCAACACCCGCACTCAGTACCCAGAAGTCAGTTTTGCCATTTCCCTCAGCCTCATGTGGGTTGTGAGAAGCTTTGCAGTTTCTTTGCTTCTGTGGCTTTGAGGTCCTTCTTGACATAGCAGCGGCAATGTCAACAACACACATTCACTGAAGACTTCACTCATTCGAGGCTTCCTCTGTTCCATGTATGTACCTAGGAGAGGAGAGAGCCACCTCTCAGGGGGAGCCTGTCAACAGCAACCTCTGAAGTGTGCACCCTGGTAGGTCAGCCACGCTCACTGCACTCTGCGTTAGCATCACTGAGGATGTATTTCAGCTCCTGGTTCAGTTTCCCTACTAGACCAGCCCATTCCTAGTGCTCCGTAGCCTAGTGGGGAATCACTGGAGTAGCAAGCAGATAGCACAGCTGTGTGGAGTTCTACGACATGCATCCAGGAGAAATAAAAACTCAGGACAAGAACGAGACTTACACTGGTCATGAAGGATGCCTTGGTGGCTGAGTTTTAACTGCAATATTTTATTATCACCCCTTTAATGCAGTATATTCCAAAAGCTCCTTCTCTAGAGATGTAAATAATATCTACCATTCCTGCTAATGTTCCACTGATTCCACTAAAATTCACTCTGGGGAAGCAATGAGGCTATTAGTCTTCCTTTCAGAGCAATGGAGGAGAGTTTACAGCTTCAACTATGGGTAGCCTTAAAGCACTCACACTGGAAGGTGTGAGTGGTCTTAAAGCAGATACACTGGAAGGTCTGAGAGGCCTTAAAAACAGACTGGAAGGTATGGGTAGCCTTAAAACAGTCACGCTGGAAGGTGTGAGTGGCCTTAAAACAGTCACACGGATGCAAGAATGATAGCTCCACAATGGAGGTGGTGGCCTCCCTAGTTCTTCAAGCCTTCATATTCTAGCTTCTCTCTGAGGCCAAGTGCAATTAACACAGAACTGCCTACAACTGGTGGAGGGGAATGACAAGATTCTCAAGCGAGGGTCCATGATCTCCCAGCATCTCCTTCTGTCAGGGAGCATGAGCAGGCAACTAGCCCAGCCATGATAATCTTTTGCAGGCATGTCCAGCCAAACCACTGGCAAAAGCAGCCACCTTTTTCGACACCTTCCCACTTCCATATCCTAAGTCGTGCGATGTCAAAGTCGACCTGGGGTTGTGTCTCAGCATAGGTACAGTCAGATCTTGAGCCACAGTCAAGACCCAGCCCAGGTTTGCCAGTCAACTTCCATGTAATCACATTGAGCACATGTAGAGTGTGGCTGTTTCACCAAATGAGGTAGCCCTATATCTGATTTATATGCTGTTTGAAATAACAAATGTAATTTGTTAAATACAGAGATCAGCTAAGCAACCTGTCATGCCATGATGTTTGTCTTGCTTACCTAATGAAAACTAAACAGATGCAATCAGTGCTCTGCTTGTCCATGATTTCTAGGTAAGGTTTGTTACTGGAACACATTTTCTTGAGGTTGAAGAGAGTGCTTTTGTTTTTCAGTCAGGAATCTTTACAGCATGTTGATTGTTCTCTACTCTTTGGGATGTATAAAAGTAACATCCTGCAGACAGGCCCATCAAGGAAGGGCTCACATGGTTGAGAACTTAGAAACGCTGAAGGAAGGACCAATGAGACATTCCGTTTTTCAACTCAGCAATATCTGACCTTACTTTACAAAGTAAACTAATTTTCAAACAAAGTTGGTCTATTATAGACCCTGAAGAGATTGCAAATATGAACTAGCATTATCAATAAAGTTTTAGCTACTTTATGAAATATTACATATTGGTGAATGATTTTCTTATGTAATAAATATAAAATAGTGGGGTAAAGCCATCCTTCAGAGTTAGCCTTTACTCTCAGGAATTTGTCAATTGTATTAATGACTTCTCACTGTCAAGTAAATGTATAATAAAGTAAATATTTTATCTGGTTAGAAGAATTTTAAAAATAAAATGATGATTAACAACTTTTCATGTTTGTATGAAATACTTCCTATGAAAATTCTGCTGTTTATCTTCTGTGGGTTTACGTTCAGGTTCAGACATAGTTAAGGCAAATAAAATTACGCATACAAGTTACAAATAACTTAATTTCCTCATGTCATGTCCATGTTATAGAGAGTAGCCAAGACTGAAGATGATAAACTAATTGTGTTGCACAGAGAACACTTTTGAGATGTATTCCAAATAAGCGTTATATCAAAAATTCTGCAATGATAAAAACTACCTAGGAAAATTAATCCTACATATATTTATTTATTTTCTTATAAGAAGGAATTATATTTTAAGATCAAATAAAGCAGTAACGTAAAAAACATTGGTTAAAAAAGTCAGATCAGAAATGTCAAATAATACCACAACCAAGGCTGACAGAATAACTCACCAAAGCAATGCATGATGGGAAATGAAAGCCATGTGAGCGCCCTTAGTTTAGTGTTCTGAAGAGGGGTCCTGGCCAGCTACAGAATTCATAATAGTGTTACTGATCTAGAATCTAGCTGCTTAGAAGAGAGCACAACACACGTCGATTCAAAGGTCAGAACACCCTTGCTTCCCGTCCTGTCATCATGCAGCGGTCCCCAGGCATATAAAGGAAGACCATTACCGATGAATACACACAGTGACGGATTGTGTAGAGTCACTACAAGCCAACAGGTCAAATAGATGACATTCTCGGTCATTATTGGGGTATGAATGTGCAAAGCAGGCCTGTGTGCTGAAGCAAAAGGGGCAGCAGAACAAGTCAAATGTGTATCCGTGCTCCAGCTCGGCCAAAGACTGGATCTGTTGCCTTGAAAAGCTGCTTTTATTCTAGGTTCTGCTCTTCTCTTCTGTAAGGTTATGGGACTGATCTCAAAGGCTGCTTCCAGCTCAGGATATCTATGTTTCTAAGCAAGGAACCACATGATTTACTGCAAACAGTCATAAGAGTAGGGCGTCTTTCACTCTCGCTGTCTGCAAAGTCAGACTGAAACAGAATGAGTGAAACGGTTCCTTCTAGAATAAACTAAGAACCTGTCTTCTCATCCCTCTGTGGGAAGCAGGATTCTATTTTTGCCCCTCTGGTACTTTGTAACTTTAAAAAGCTGGACCCACATCATACATAACAATGAATAGAGCTTGCCATCATGGGTGCACAAGTACCTAGCAACTTTCCTCAGGTAGAATGGGGATTTCTGCCCCCAAAGACTCTTCAGATTGACCTCACCAAGAAAGATGTTGAAAGGGAACTTGAAATGAATATGTTAGCTATCTAGTAGTTTTTGATCACAAACCCTGTAGGAACAAATCTGGGGCATCATTGAATACAGCAACCAACAGACATGAGGCCAAGGAACTCACCAATGACTCATTTACCTGTCAGTAGAGTATGTCTTATATAGTCATTAAATTCTTCAATTTAATATAGTACTGGGTTTATTGACTTCCAGAAAATAGTGACTATATTTTGAAATTTAAAATTAAGGCTAACTCATAATGAAAATCTAATGATTTCATTTGAAATATTTTATTGACATAGAAGAAACTAGCCTTTCATAGTATATGAAAGGGAACTATTCTATCTCAGAGTCTATGGTAGAAAATGTCACAGAGCAACTGTGTGAGAGCGGTAAGAATGTTGAACAACCACTATCTTGTCAACGCTACAGTCATGCTTTTTTTGACCCTGGGCTTTGTGTGTCTCCTACAATGTCATAGCTGGATTTTGAAAAGCGTCATTCTGAGTTCTCAGGAATTCCATCCCGTAACCACCTTGCAGTATTCTGAATTCCCAGGGACGTTAATCCTGTAGCCATACTGCAATTATGTTTTAAATATTGACAAGTGGCAGAGTTCATGATGAGACCTGTTTGTCTACAGGATGCCTCTGTCAGAATGCTCGCCTGCTGCCTTGGGTTGGGTGAAAAGCTGCAGGCATGAGTTAATGCATGTGGTCGTGCTGGAATGGGAGATTTGTGGAAGAGCCTCCTTCCTCCTTCTCTTCATCTCTTGTTCTTTTCTCTCGACATGAACCTTGAACTGCTGTGAAGATCAAGTTAGTAATCGTGCTTACCATTATGAATCTTAACTAGTAGAAGTTTAGAAAAAAAATGAAAGTGCACCTTGCCAGTGCTGGCTAAATCCTCACATGCTGGTGCCCGTCAGCGGGGGCCCATTTGGGAACTGGAAAAGACAAAGGCCTAGACCTTTTAGAAGTGTATCTGTCTCTAGCATACAGCGCATAATCTGGACTAAACTTTGGCAAATGTGGGTTTTAAATGTATGAATATATATATATATATAATATAATTTTATATATATCTTCCAAAATGTATATGAAAGGGAACTATTCTATCTCAGAGTCTGTGGTAGAAAATGTCACAGAGCAACTGTGTGAGAGCGGTAAGAATGTTGAACAACCACTATCTTGTCAACGCTACAGCCATGCTTTTCCTGACCCTGGGCTTTGTGTGTCTCCTACAATGTCATAGCTGGATTTTAAAATCAGTGGCATTCTTCGTGAGCTGAGGCATTTACTTACGTTATAAATATTCTTTTTTACATTCCACTCATCTTTGTTTACAAGTATCTTTGTTTCTATTATCCCAGTCTATGTGCTTTATTGCCCATTTTTCCCATTTAATTTTATTAATTTATTCTAGGTTGGATGAATTGAGAGTTTTTAATCCTCTCTATTTTTTGCAGTCACACACTTATTATTTTTTATATTTATGTTACTACCCCTTCTCATGATTGTATATGCACATGGTGTCTGTGTGTGTGTGTGTGTGTGTGTGTGTGTGTGTGTGTGTGCACCTTTATATAAGTGTCTGTCTTTCCAGGCTTCCATGTATCATGGAGGTCAGAGAACAACCTGGTTGTTAGTTCTCACCTCCCATGATGTTTTGGACTGGCTCTTCTGCTCACTGCGGTCTACACTAGGTTCTTCTCATTTGGATTGCTCAGCTTGTGTTCTTATAGGACCCAGGACCACCAGTTTGTGAACAGCACAACTTACCATGGGCTGGACCCTTCCACATTGATCACTAATTAAGAACATGCTTTAAAACTGAATCTCATGAAGGCATTTCCTCAACTGAGGCTTTTTTCTCTCCGATGCCTCTAGCCTGTGTCAAGTTGCCCCACAAAACCAGCCAGTAGAGAATAAAGATAGATCTTGTTAGGAAAGGGAAATAGAAAAGGTAATTATGGGTGGAGGTGTGGAACCTGAGAGTCAAATGGTGAAAGAAAGAAGAAATTAAGAGGAGTGTGGTAATATGGAGAGAGACAGCTAAAATTAAGGCCCCTTTGAGGATTAGTCTGGAAACCTAAAAAGTTTTAGAGCTAGAAACAACACAGCACTGATAGTGTGGAAAATCCAGCTATCAAGGAGATAACACAAGAGGATGTAAAATTTTCCAATTATACTAAGTTTAGCAAAGAGAAAAATACTACTAAAATTGCTTATAGGCAGAAGAAAACCATCACAGTTCAATTGTTGACGTTAAAATAATGCAAAAACATGGAATTAAGAAAACTGACAGGGTCAGAGATACTCTCGGGCTTATGTTTGGAGACATGGCGACACGTCTTCCTTCGCCTCAGAGACAGTATGAGTCAGCGTAAACTAAGAAAGAGGACACTCTTGAGCAAGTCAGCGTTTGAGAAAGCAATGGGATGCTCTTGTTTTAAAAGTGGCCTTCCTCCACCTTTTTAGCACTTCCTGATCTTCAGGCCCTGTGACGGATGCTGCAGCAACAAGGCACACTGCATCTTTCTACGTACTTACAGATGGCTCCATCGCATATGTGGTTCTAGGGGATCACAAGCCAATTTCACATCAAAGATGTTGTCCCCTGAGAACAGGTGCTTCCAACTCATTCCATTCCCTTGAGAACCACTGGATTTAAGGACATTCTACTCACATTCACAAATGTTTCAGTGAGCAAGGGCGGAGCAGTGACAACAGAAGGCGTAGTTGAGGAACACAGCGGAGTGGGTTCTCTTGCTTTTGCTCTGCTTCTTCCTGTCTTCAGTCAAACCAACGTTGCCTGGAAAGCCCAGAAACATGAAAAGAAGATAGAGCAAGTGTTCAAACTCCTTCAGACTCAGGACCGAAATGTTGGGAAATGTGGCTAAAAGATTAGGAAAACATACAGCAAACAAAAATTAAAGAACTCAGACTTGCTCTCATAATTGATTGAGTTAAAGCTGCCTCGAAAGGACAGATTAAATACAAAGATGAACTGTCTATCAAAATCCTCTGCCCTCCAAGGTCAGTCTGCATTACAAATGCATTACTCCATTCTCGGGCTGTTTTGATGAGGTCATGAAATTGTTTCGGTTTCTAGATCTCAAGCCAGTCTTGACTGAAGACTTCAGAGCCTAGGAACTGTGCCCTAGAGCTGTAGGAACATAACAACCCCTACTCTCGAGTTATCTCACCGTTGTGAACCATTCTGTCCTTACTTGAACGCAGTAACTTTGAGGTGACTTCCCAGATTAATCGATGCCCTCCCCCGCCCACCACATTGTGTTTTGGATGGAGTTAGGGAGGTGCAGATGAACAGGGGAAAGTCGTTTCCCAGGGCTGAAGATGCTGGCATGACTCACCCGACCTGAACAAACCCTGTAGTGAATTCTGACAAAGAGAGATGAGTCATATCCTGATTGCGCTCTACAAAAATATGCTACTGGCTGGTGTGGTGGCACATGCCTCTATTCCCATAACTCAGGAGGAAGAGGCAGGCAGCTCCTAGGAGTTTCAAAATGACCTGGTTTACACAGTGAGTTCCAGACCAGCCAAGGCTACAAAAAGAAACCCTGTCTCAAAAGTTTTAAAAAAAAAAAGGTGCTGTTAACATGGCTAATTCTTTTTTACTCAGTGACCAAGAATGGGGAGTGTGCTCTGAATTATTTAGTCTTGTATGGTGAAAGAAGTGTGAAGAAAAGTTAATTTTTAATATGAATAGAAGTGTCTTTCAGTCTCAGAGGTTTCTATTCCCAATCATTCCTTCTGAACATCTGTCTCAGTCACGTTTCTATTGCCGTGAGAAAAAACACCATGACCAAGGCAACTTATAAAAGAAAGCATTTAAGGGGGCTCATGAGTCCCATGGAAGAATCCGTGGCGAGCAGGGCAGCAGGCAGGCATTGTGAAGCAATAGCGGAGAGCTCACTTCTGATCCACAAGCTGACAGAAAGAGCAAGATCTAAATCAGAATTATATGGGCTTTTGAAACCTCCCAGCCAGTGACACACCTCATCCAAGAAGGCCATGCCTCCTAATCCTTTCCAACCAGTCCCACCAATGGGACCAAGCATTCAGATACATGAGATCTCGAGAACCATTTTCATTCAACTCGCCATACCATCCAAAGACTTTCCCTCAAGAGGACAACTCCAAAGACCCAGCTCTAGCCTTTTCAAACCAAAAGGAGACAGAATACAGCATAAAAATAACCAGAGAGCACAGGGAAGCTTGAGGAAGAAATTTTCGAGGTTAAAAATGACAAGGGGGCTGGGTTCTCACAAGCTGGCTTTCCTAGATCCCAGCAGCATCACCTCAGTTTAGGAGTCCAGAGAATTTTCCTGCAGCTCTGCCACAGCTCCGGACAATGGCATCTGATTTTGAGAATAAATAGCTGACAGTAAATGTGAGCACTAGCTTTGATCTAAACTAAATATTGATTTTTCAAAATGGGGATGTGCTCAATGTAACATTTCTATAGTTAATTTCAAGTCAATGAGTTCATTTGAGCCTAAGTACCCATCCCATCAGCCATCTGAGTTTTATTCATCTGACTATTCTCCTAAACAGCTTAGCCTATGGTCAGCAAGATAAAATCCTCACCCCTCCCAAACTGAGATAGTTAACAACCTGAACCCCGCTGGCCTCTGAGGGAATCTCCACTGGAGCCTAGGTTCTGCTGAATGAGACTTGCTTGAGAGTGTGGTATCTGGTATAGCAAAGCCTGCTGGGATTCAATGACTTGTTTTGCCTGGCAGCCTCAGAATTGGCACAGCAAGAAGAATTCAGTTCTGAGTGTGCCCTGATATCCGTTAGTCAGAGCCTGATTTCCCTGATGATGAGGGAAGTTTGAGCTGGAAGTAAAAACGGTAGAACCGTGGTTCGGTAACGAGTCTCACGTCACAGGACATAAGAGAGCACTGTACTGCTTACGGCAGACTGCAGAACAGAATCTTCCTGAGTTTACGATGTAACGGGCCCTGAAAAGGTTATGAATGCTAAGAGAATGTGAGATGAGCCTGTGAACGGATTCCAGCAAACAGAATCGGCCCTCGCTTGCTTCCTGCTGCTGTGCTGAACACCATTATCAAAACCAGGTCTTGGGAGGACAGGCTTCATTTGGTTTGTCTGTATCAAAGGAAGCCAAGGCAGGAACCGACAGGCAGAACTGAGGCTGAAACATTACCACGGAGGAAAGTGGCTTACTTGCTAACTTTCTTATCCACCCCAGATCAGCTTCATTCTATACACGCCGTTGTCCCTGGGGGTTGTCCCGTGTCCTACAATCACAGTACACTCTGGTTTCCACTGCAAATGGGGCTGAAGCTTCACCAATGGCCTTCTAGCCTCTAGGGATGGTGACCCTACCACATGATGCCAAACCTCTGCTTTTCTTGTGATCTCTTCAATCTTGGTGTCTCCACTGCAACTGAGCTCACACGTTCGCCAAGGCTCCTCCCACTATCAACCTCAGCTGTCCTCCAGGACCCCTTTAAGCCCTATAGCTTTCTTTCCCGAGTTCAGCTGCACACTTGATGTAGCCATTGAGAGCTTCCGCGTGCTGATCCTGAAGAAATACTTCCCAGATTTCTCCTCAATAATGCTGGTCTCTCAGTCAGCACAGCTGTTTCTTTAGCCCCAGAGAGTCGACATCATTTGTCCCCATAAAGTCAAGGTTTCACTTCCGCAGACTTTAATCCAAAACATCACATGAACAGGAGAGCTTCCCTCTGAAACTTCACAAGCCAGGCCTCTACCATCTGCATTATCCTCCACACTCCTGTAACGTCTCATTACGCTCTCAACAGTTAAAGGTTCCAAAGGTCTTTCCTAAACCCCCTCCCCCAGAAAGATCCGCCATCAGCTCCATCACCGCAATTCCACTCTCCACGCAAGCTCCCATCTAGTGGGCTTTCTATCGCTGTGATAGACAGGCACATGACTAGGACTCCCTCTGGGGAGGGAAGGCTGATCTGTCTTGCAGGTTCCCATTCTTTGATAAGGCAGCGAGTCAGGAACTGAATCAGAGTCTACAGGAGAAAACTCCTTACTGGCTAGCTCTCGATGGCTTGATCAGCTTGCCATCTCATAAAAACCACAGAAGAGGTGCTCAGGGGTGACACTGCCTCAGTAAGCTGTGACCTCACACATCATTCATTAATCAGGAAAGTACCCCACAGATATACTCACAAGCTAATCTGAAGAAAGTGATTCCTTAGCTGAGGTTCTCTGTCCCAGGTGATTCTAGTGTATGTCAAGCTGGCAAAAACTAACCAGCATAGATTCCTAAAACTACCTCACAGGACTGTTCTCAAGGGCTAGAAATTATGTCTTCTCTTTAAAACTAAGTGATATTTTGATATTTTTGAAAGCGATGATTAATATGAGAGAAAATAACTACATCGTATGTAACTTATTAATTTCTAGAAGTCTAAGTTGAGAATAACAATCATCGTGGAATTTTATTTTAAGTTTTACTCCTGCTCATTAATTATATGCATGCATATATGTGTATCATATTGGAGTTAGACACAGGGTTTGTAAATTCCATGATTCCATGTGACTGTGAATAAAATTCTTAACTGTGTTTGCTCTGACATGGGTATGACTCAAGGGCCCCCAAAAAGTAACTACCTTGTTTTTATTACATGAAAATTTTCAGTATGTGGTGCAGGGTATGCAATGATGGTCACATTCTGTTAAAGGAAGCAATTTTCTTCTGCAGTAGAAAGTTTCATAATCCCAGTAACATCAGACAGGCAACATCCTATCTCCAATCACTGAAGAATGATAGTGTTCACATCCTGATACAGTTGAAAGGGCAATTATGTCTCTCACCTATATAATAAACACCTGCTAGATTCCCATCTGGATTTCCAAATTTAAAATACTATGTCTTTTAAGCTAAGATATTCTCATGACTATAAAAATTTCCTGGGTTAATTATACCTTCAAAGTGGTGGTGTTCAGAATACAGAGAATTATCTGTATTCTATCAATCATATTTTAATAAAACGCTGATTGGCCAGGCAGGCAGTATAGGCAGGAAAGCCAGACAGGAAGTAGAGGTGGAGCAAAGAGACTGGGAGTATTCTAGGAAGCTCCTTCTGCCAGTTCTGCCCAGACCACCGGAGAGGAAAGATGTAAGCTGCCCCGCTGGAAAAGGTACTGAGCCATGTGCTAACGTAGATAAGGATAATGGGGTATCATAAGTTATAAGAGCTAATAAGTAGCCTGACCTAATGGGCCAATCAGTTTATAACCTAATGTAGACTCTGTGTGATTGATTTTCTCTGGGACTTGCCGGTTGTGGGGTACCGGGCGGGAACAGATACCCCAACAAGTTGGCCTTCATGTTACAGTTCTGGTACACATCTCTCACATAGTTGTTTTCTAGACTTTAGCACACTGTCCAGCCGAATTCCTATGAGAACTCAGGAAATGTTTCCCATTAAGTGGAGAAGCATCCATAAGGTCTGTTCATGCAGGTTTTATTCATGACTACACATCTCAAACCATGTGAAGTTTGACATGCCAGTCCAACAGTTCCCTTGGGTGTCTCTTTCAAGAACTTTACCCCATCCTATGCCAAGTTTTCTACTGATGAGTATGAGAACACAGTCACAGAAATCCATGTTGCACTAAAGTGGCTGTCAACCACGTATGTTAAGGCAGCGCTCCGTTACATGTTGATTACAAAGCAATTCTGTCAACCATGTATGTTAAGGCAACACTCTATTACCTAGATAGCTGGAAAAGTAACCCCCCACCAAAAAGTGGTTTTCAACATAAGGGTAAGACTGTTGCTAAAGACATCACACACTTGAGTCATAGAACATGGTGAAATCAAACTTGGATGGACCTGGAAGTTTGACCCCTACTGGCTAGCTTTCATAGCCCTGGAAGACCATGAAAGTCACAGCAGGAGAAAAGTCGCCATTGATGGTACTTGGCTGAGAACTGTGTGAACTACAAGGGCTGACCTGGCAAGACATGTCCTCTGGTGCAGCAGTGGTATAAAAATTACGAAGTGAACAACCACTTTCTGATCGGAATTAAGTGCCACTGCACAAGATAAAACCAGTATCTGGCATTGTTATAAGGCCAAGAACCTGTCATTGGCCCTAGGAGAGAGCCTATTGAGCAGCTAGCATTGATAGGCGTAGCATCGAACTGACTCCTGGTGATTTATCATTGAAGTCATAGACCAATTCATCTCAAAAACCCTCATTCGAGAGGCCTCTATTTGCTGTAGGTGGTGATTAACACCCAGACCCACAACTGGTCAAAACGCAGAGAAAGAGACTACAGCATGATCAGCCCTATGGAGAATATAAGGACCGCTCACCCCTCTCACCCCTCTCACCCCTCTCGACCCTCTCAAGGCTCAGGAATCAGTTTTTGGAAGAAGGAGCATGAAGAGTACATGAGCCAGGGACTGCGGACGACTGCACGGGAACAACGCAGCAAGGCAGCTGTGTGTATGGGGGCACAGTGATCATGACAACAGCACAAAGCCTGTCTGGCCACAGCCAGACTCAATCCCAGCATGGAAGAGGGGAGCTGGGCACATGACAGGGAAAAAAGTGGCAAATGTTAGCTTTGGTTTTGTCTATGAATGTAGCCCCTGGTAAGTGGACTACCCTGTAGTAGAATACCTCACATCCAAAAATATTTGGGGAAGCCCAAATTGGTCTCAAAGGGCTTTTTCAAAAGGACAAAAAGTTGGATGGGTAGCAAAAATTAGGGTTAATCTTGGAAGAGTTGGGGGAGATAAACATAAAAAATCATGTTGTATAAAACTCAAAATTCTCAAAATATTAATTTAAAATGTAAAAATGATCATTAGGATCATATGAAGAACGTATGATGTGTACAAACCAAGCTCAACAAAGTGTATTAAGGCAAAAAGTGATGATCAAATTAACTCTGGAAATGAGTAAGGCCTTTAAGATTAAAGTAATAAACTTTCCACAAGCAGCATGTGCTAGTTGTTGAAGTTGCTCCTCCAGGTGAATGCGTTGATAACCTGAAAGCAGTCTGCATTTAGACTGAAGTAGAACAATTCAGCAAACTGAGGGCAAAGAGTGGAAACCATTCTCATAGCTGGAGGTGGGAGCTACAGATAGGTAAGGGAAGAAATAATCCATACCCTGAGAGAGCCAGAGTCATTGGTGCACAGCGTTTTCCTGTCTGACATTTCCATGATTGCATATGAATTCTGTTAGCTATTGTTTGTACAAGTTTGTATACACACATGTATTTTGTTTCTCTGCTATCTAGGGTCCCGGAAGTAAAGATTTGCTGTGACAATGAGAACATCCAACCTAGTTGCTTCTAGTACCATCACCAACACCATTATGAATTAATATCAATAAAAGCAGCCAGAATTCCTTGAACAAGATGTGCCTGAGTCTAGGACTGGGACAGACAATATACAAGATGAGCCTCAGACAGTGTGTAGTGGAAGAAAGCAGCCAACACAGAAAAAATACCAAAAGGAAGCCCATTTGATGGCACTGTGTTAAGGCAACACAGGAAACTGAAAAATATCCAGTGGCCACAGCCAAAAGGTATAGTAGCACAGTGTAACGATCAAAGGTGTAGGCTCACCATGAATCCATGCTGCCAAATAAATAAATAAATAAATAAATAAAGAAGGAAGGAAGGAAGGAAGGAAGGAAGGAAGGAAGGAAGGAAGGAAGGAAGGGGAGAATAGAAAAGTCTCCCAAGCAGAAGAATCCCAAATAACTTCTGTACATTCTCCACATTCAATGATGAAGAACATCATTTCCCAGTCCTTACTTTTGGCTGTGCGCAGTAATATATAATATAATCCCAAGATTATAGTGCACAAAAATGGCAGAAGAAATCTCTTTGAAGGAAGGAAACAGGCCACATCACCTCTATTGACTGGTCAAGGATGATGCTTATAGTCATAGCATGCTCATATATCCATGTTCCTTGATACTCAAACATTTCTGTTTCTCCTCTCAATTCCTTGGTTCTATTCTAACCATGTGAAAGTCATCAGACCACTTCACTGGGCACAGCTGATTTTAATTGGTGGCTATTACAACTACCATCACTGTGGTCTTGTCTTGAGGGCCAGGCAGGCCCTTCTGCAATTGTTCACACTAAAGACTAGACACAATGTTGACCACAAAGAAACAAAGCAATGATGAAAAAAATGTAAAACCTACAAAGTGGATTTCAAACAGCTATGCTCAGATTTCTGCCAACCCCAGAGTCTTGTGGATTTCACTCACCTGGTTTCCTAGGAGCTTTCAGACGAGTTTCCACATTGATGGGAAAGAGAAAGCTGTTGGTGAAAACTGAATCTGAGACACAGAGGGAGTTCTTTCTCAAGAAGTCTAGCTTTCATTCTGTAACTGATCAGGACCAAAGAGCCTCATTTTTTTACTGATGTGTACCAAAGCATCCTTCTCTCAGACAGTGATTGACTTAGCTCAAAGGATCTACCAATAAGAGCCCAGACAGAAGAATAACAAAGCAAATGTCTTGAACACTGATGAATATGGAGGAAAGAGTTTTCACCTTCCTTGATCTCAGGAAATGTGGCCTTATGGAATTGTGTCAGTTAGTGTCACAGACACTTGGATGTCAATGATCAAGAGCAGTGGTGGTGGATGCGCGCACGCACGTGCGCACACACACACACACGCACGCACACACACACACACACACACACACACACACAGACCGAGCCCAGGGGTTGTTGTCAGGTGTCTCTGTCCATCACTCTCCACCATATTTTATGAGCTGTGGGCTTCCACTGGGCCTGACCTTCCCAGACTTCACTGATAGGCCACTAAACTCCAAGGATCCTTCTGCTCTGCCTATCTTTCAACATGGGAGCACAGGTTCTGCCGTCACACCCAGTTTCTGCTTTGGTTTTCCTTTTTAGTTTTTTGCTCAGGAGCTGGCAATCTTAACTCAGCCATGGGCACTTTATGCACCTCGAGCCATGTGCCCAGCCCACACACTGATTTTCTGTTCTAAGGGACAAACCTTCCTTGGCTTTTCCCCCACTTTTGTTGCCCAATAAATTGATTCTCTTTATTTTCTAAGGAAAAGATCTTTTCTCTGAAGTTTCCACGTATTAGATTAAGCTAACCTGTATAATCCTATGCTGTGTTGTATGCTTCTCACTATAATTACATATGCAAAGTCACTTTGGCTACTTATAATAACAGGTTCTAGAAATGTGGGCTGATGCATCTTCCTGTCACACTACAAAGCTGCAGATGTATATATACAATAATCACTCCTATCTTATTGTCTCCTGTAGGTATTTCAAACATGATCTCCAGGCTGGCTTTGTGGCAGGCGTCTTCCCGTCTCAGCTTCCTGAGTGCTGAGAATACAGATGCAAGCTTGTTCTGCACGGAGCCCCAGTCCTGTACTCCAGCGAATAGCCTATTGCCTTCATCACAGTGTCTATCCGTTCATAGGTACCTCAGTCCAGGGGCTGGAGAGAAGGCTTAAGAGCTAAAATGCTTGTGTGCAAGCATGAGACTCTGAGTCCAGACTGTAGCATCCATTTGAAAAACAGAATGTTAGCGCATGCTGTAATTCCTGACCTGGAGCTGGAGATAAGAGGAATCTGGGGGCTCACTGGTTGACCAGTATAGCCTATTTGTGAGTTCCATTTTCAATGAGAAGGCCTTTCTCAAAAAATAAAGGTGGAAAATAAGTGAAGAAGACACACAATGTTGAACTCTGGCCTTTCTGTGCATACTTACAAGCACACACACACACACACACACACACACACACACACACCCCAGTTCAGAAATACTCTTGGGATTTTAACTTGACTTTTCCTGCTCAATATTGAGAAGATTAATAAAATGTATGTTGACTGATTTATTTTGGAAATTTTCCAAGATGAGAACAAAGGACAATGCAAATACCTTTCCCACGGCCATTAAATACCAACATAAGTGAAATTAGTAACAGAAATGATATCAAAGACATCCTCCTAAATGGTTAAGGACTTCGAAATAACATGATCATGTTTCCAGGAGCCTAAGGATGAACTCATCCTCTGACATTTTACAACACAAAGGTTTATTTTGAGAAGTATAAAAGAGTAAAGGAATTCCATTCTTAAAAGAGCCTCTACTATAGCTGCCTCATAGTGTTATAAATATTTCTAAACATACTCAGTGTGCCACCTAGGAAATACTTGAAAACAAGAACATGTTACTGTCATCTCCTAAAAGCATTACCAGAATTTTTCCTTCATACCAGTTTTGATTAATGCTCAGATGTCTTTCCTGGGGCTGACTTTGTTATCAGGGAATGCTTTTGATGAATTCTCGCTAAAGTTCACAGGAGTCTAGACTGAACGGTAGCAGCAGATGATGTCAGACCCTAGGGCACAGCTCAATAAGGAAACAAAGCTCACATTACACAAGTGTTTTTGTTGGCACAACGATTCGTCGGGCGGCTCGTTATCCTAGATCAGGGTGGATCTTCTCTTCTGACCCTATCATGGCGGCTTGTTATCCTAGATCAGGGTGGATCTTCTCTTCTGTCATACTCAGACACTCAGAGGAGTACTAGGTGGAAACAGAACCACACTCTGCTGTTGTCTCAGCCCCCAAACCTTCATGCCGCATAGAACTACAAAAGCATTGTTCAGCATGTTAGACAGGGGAAAATGAAAGAACTCAAGAAAGAGATTGGTGACACAGCACCGTGTAGACACTGTGGCAGGGTTGGGGAGAAAGACCACACTGACTTTCCCATCTCAACCTCTGAAAGACTCCTACTGTTCACTAAACCATAATCTCTATTTCCAACTCTTGACTTGCAAAATATTTTAGTCAGCTGTCTATGGTTAGACCTTAAGTACTTCCCCCATTGTCTGCTTTCTTTCATATTCACGGGTGTGGGATTGTATGTATAAATATGTGCAGACTTAGGAATATCAGTCTGTATAATGTTACTCATATGTATGTTTTCAGAGTTGCCTATTTGGTATTGGACAACCAATTGTACTCTTTCCTGGCAGAGGGTCTCTCCCTCTTAGCAATCCTTAGCTGTCCGTAGTTCTTACGAGTTGGGGGTCTCACGAGCTTTCTCCTTTCCATATTTGCTTGTCTTTGGGTGTCACCCTTGCTCAAGCATACTGGTGAGACTGCGTGTGTGTAGCTTCTGATATTCTTAGGAGACACACTCTCACAGCCAAACCCCTGGTCCTTTGGACTTAGGACCGTTCAGTTCACACTTCGGCAATGATCCCTGAGATTTACATGAAGGAATTGTTTTGTTGATGTAATAGTAGTGACCAGTGGCAGATGTCAACTGAACTCCCAATTTATTCTAGATGTTGTTAGAATTTTCATATCATAGTCCTGTTTCAGGTGCATCTGAATATCGATATAGTGGCCCAAACTGGGAAAAATATGACTTTTAAAGAAAACCTTTTAAACCATAATGTTTAAAACAGTGAGGACTACTTAGACACAGTTCCAAAAAAAATCACTGTCAGCTATACTAACAAAGAGTAATATGCCAACACTATTACTACAGGCAACATTTTCAGATAGAACCCTTTGATAGATGGTTTTCCTTTGAATGATGCATAATCTTCTGAATATTGAATTTTAGAATACTCGCTATAACAAAATTATTTTAGAGGATCCATATTCTCAGCTTAATAAAACCCTATTCTTGTTTCTTTGCTTGCTTTGTTTTGTTTTTGAGACATGGTCTCAGTCTATAACCTAGGATAACCAATAGCTCACTAAACCTGAACTGGCCTCAAACCCATGGAAGTCCTCCTGTCTCAAACCTCTGAGTGCTGAGGTTATATAAATCTGCCCCCAGGCCTAATTTATACACGACTACTATTTTATGATCTGCACCCTCTGAGGACAGCCTCCTTGATCAAGAAAGCAGTAGAAAAGGAATAATTCTACCCTTCTTCTTCCAGTCATTTTTCTTCTTTTATGAGTCTGACGTCCATTATGATGATTTGATTTTTATTCAAGTTGGCTACACTGCCCTCAAGAACACAGCAAGTAAAAATAGCAATGTATTCATCCATCCTCAAAATGCAAATAAATTTCTACTCTTATTGGTTATATTAGCATGCCTGGTGACAGAAATTTCCTCTTCCTGCATTCTTCTTTCCTGCTGATTGCATTCAACTACTAATATGGTTGGGGTTACTTAATATCAAATGCCATCGTGAAGCATGTGGAAATCAATGAGAAATGTTATATTACCAGGAATAAATTTAACGATTCTGTTAGTTCATTGCAAACGGGCACAATGTCTCCTAAAAAAGCAAGTACCGTTGCTTGGATAGATGGCCTGTGTTCTAATGAAGCCGAGGAAGACAGTAGCCCAGCTGTGACCAAAAGGCTGCCTAATGAGCAAATACCACGAGACAAGAGGAGGCTGAAAGTGGAGGGAATTTGCATCTGATTTCTGCTTTCGTCTACTTCCCATACTGAGTCCTTAACCAAAGGAACTGGTCTGTTTTCCATTTTCTCAGAGTATGATGAAAATGCCATATCTAAGAACCAAGACAATAAACAACAATCTGCAGTTTCCCAAGCTACTGTTAATAGATGTTCTTTCAAGACAGTTCATTTGTGCTGTCTTGACATTTCTTTAATTCCCTCCATCTATAAAGGCTCCGTCAGCCCAGACAGTTCCCTGGTGCCCCAAAGCAAACATCTAAACTGTGCTGTGGTATGCTGCGGTGCTTTCTGCCACATCCTCTTTCAGATGTGACATTAGAAGCCCTGCACCCCACAAAAGCAGCACCAAATGGCACGCTGGCATTGTGGATAGATCACAGTTGCATTGATGGGAGATTCTGGGATGAAAGAAAACATGAGCTACACCCTTGACGCCCCAACCCTTGTACCACAGCTGAACACAAGCATATCACAAGTTCCAGAAATGTGTCCTATCACTGCTGCTCTTGGCATCGATGCCTGGATCATGACTGCCGTTCTCTGGTCCTGAGTCCGCACAAATAAAGCCTGTGGGTATATTCCCTTGGCATCACTGGCATACAAGTAGCTTAATTCAACTCAGTCCAAGCTTCATCTACTTTCTTCTGATCATTGGCTCCTTATAACTTCTGACTTTTTCACATTTGACACTGAACTGCTCAACTTCCCCAAATATTCGATTTGTTGTTTCCGAACTCTGTTTTGAAGCTAAGGAGCTGTACACAAGAAAGAAAATTATACTATCTATTGGAGAGCACATAGAAAACTGGCATTTTACAGGTTATAGAAGAGGAAAGCTCACATAGGAATGTTTTCATGAGGATTGCTTGAGCATCCACGGGAAGCAGTTGCGGTACTGAGCACTCAGAATGAACACTGCGAATCCTGAGGTCCCTTGAACATTGGGGTTAAACGGCTGGTTCCTATCAGTCCCCACCACACCCAGCTCTGAAAGCTCAGATTTGATCTTTCTCTGTTCTCTATGGCATTTTAAAAAATGAAGATTTCCCCTGTTGGTGGGACTCTTGAGCAGAGCACCTTACATTATATAGGTATGCCAGGATGTCGTAATAGCGGGAAGTGGTTCTCGGTGTTACTCGGCCCGTGGGTGCGAGTGTTGATCTCTGAGGCTTTGTAGAACCATAGTACTTTACTCCTACAATAACTTATTAAACTTTTCCCAATTGCAACTACAGGCTTTTAAAACTTTATTTGACGTTGCTTTTCCTCACGGTATGTTTCTCTTTATGTGGGTTAACACAGGTATACCACTGATATGGTCATAGACACGGGAACAGCAGGGTAGTGGCTGTGGTATGGGCTTTCTTAGCAGAACGGTGACCCTGAAATCCTGCACAATATGCTTACGCTGCTGGACAAGACAGAAAATATATCCTCTTCTCAGTTTGTACAAAATAGGGATAATGGACTTACCTTCTTCGGTAGGTATCAGGTAAATAAGTAATGGGGGGGGTAGTATTCACAGTGCCCAGAATTTCCAGAAACTCCTGGCCTAAGTCAAAAGAAACAGCTCATAGCTCTACTTCTAAAGCGCGATAAAAATCTTAATCAGTGCTGACATGCAGACCAGTAACAGTGTTCACACTTGGAAGTATAGGGCATATAACTAAAAGTAAATTTTTATATTTTATCTTAAACTAGCATTATTGCTACTAAGAAGTGCATGTCTTCCTCACACCACAGAGTCTTTTCAACCCCTGACTTGCAGAGGACACTCTCACACTCATTTCCATCCACACACACGTGTTCACACAGGCACCGTGTTTTGTGGGAAGTGAATGGAGTCTTAAGTAAATGTGTGTGGTACATCTCCATGGGAGATGCAAAGGCTTCTCTAGGTGAGGCTCTGAGGGATGGCAAAGTCTTCCTCCAATCCAAGTGTAAGTGCTGACAGTGCATGCAGAAAATGCCATTGTAGCTCTCTCCTCTGGATGTCTGCTACTGGATGACTTTCTTACAGACACTAGATCCAGCTGCATATTATAAGACCTATCTCTTGGGTCAATCATGTACAATAATAATCCTGATGCCCTGTTCAATTTCGTGCAACAGACATGAGCTTCCAGGGTGCTGTAGTGTCTCTGTCACAGGGCCCAGGCCCCAATTCCAGGTTTTCTCTGTGTCTTTGTGTGTCTTGTCTATAGCATCTGTCATTTCTTCATTCCCTCGT